ACTTTATGGCGGCGTGCATCGGCGGACCACTTGGTAATAGAAGATTACCAGACGCATCAGTAGGTTACAAATTTTGTATCCCACTTGCTTGCGATGTACGCAGGCACGACAAAGATCCATAGAAAAGCAAGTTGACAAAGAAGTGGGAAAGAACACCAGCCTCAGAAAGCTGAACTTCAAATTACTGTTGCAACAGAAATCTAGCGATAAATGTGACCCACATTCATCAAGTGTCATGAATTTTGATGGTCTATAATGAAGATGAAACAATGTTCCACGAATATACCAGAGTGACACATGCAGAAGTTTTTCTGATACAAATCTGCCAAATCTGGATATATTTTCAATTAGACCTGAGAGTGACCTACATCACCACGTCATGAAATTCCGATGGTACACGATGAAGATGACCATCACTTCGTGATTATGTACCAGCTTTACAATTGGTGATGTGCGAACACTTTATAGCCGTTCTTATAGAACATGTCACGTACGAAACCCATACCGCACAGATACAGGCACAGACCAGCGATCTGCTCGCGGTAAGGTCCTGAATGAACATGCACAGAGAGGGAACTATGTCTCGGGCACAAAAGACCAGTGTTTTCCTGTATCCAGAATTCTCGACTAGGGTGGTCCAGGTGACGTTCATATATGAAGTCTTCGTAATAAGTCAGAGGGATCTAATATCCATGGGGCTACCCACGAGTAATGGCCATGGATGACAAGCACTTCCAATGTTTGGTAGAACCTAGGATCTTGATCCTCAGGGCTTTTACCAAATATGAAAGATAATGTGCACTCCTAATAGCATTTAGTGCCTATCTGGACTTCAAGGCAATTATCAAGTCTCTACAGCATTCGATCTTTACCAAATGTCTCCTTTAAAATTATGATTGAGACCCTTCAGTCGTCTATTCTCATCCCCCGCGACTCTAGGTGATATAGGGTTAGGTGAGCTACCATTTTGATAAACGGAGCAAAACTCTTGCACTCCTCGTACTTACCACCGTAGCGTTTCTAAGTGAGGTAAAGGAAAGGCATATTTCGAGGAGTATTTTGACCCATGAGCTCAAAAATTTATCCTCTTGAACGTTATTCAGTGCTTGTGTTGATTTCAGGGTTCGAACGTATTCTTGAAATCGTCTTTGGCATATAATTTTCCTGCCTATTCCAGGTACCACTAACGGTTCAGTCAAACACATAAAACGACCCCTTTTATGGCGATATCACATATGAGCGCAATGGCCCAACGCCTAAATCACGAAGAGCCAACAAAAATTTTATAACTATAGAATGTCTTTTCTGCAGGCAAAACTCCTATTGCTGTGACGCTTATTGTAAGAAAAATCGCCACTTTGCAAAGGGATGATAATATTGTTATTATTGTTTATTGTTTCTTTCCTTATTGTTTCTTCAGACTCTTGAGTTTGTCGTAACCTCATGTGTTTCTTGTTGTTGTTGTTGTTGTTATTGTTATGTCCTCACGTTTGGTCAAAAATTGCTAATATTTAACTTTGTCTCGCAGCATAACGCTTACTTTCCTAAGCCTCCAAGAGTGTAGCGCAAGATATATTAGTCATTTGACCAGGGACTGTCTGATGTCAACCTAATCCACAATATGAGATTCTTACAAACAAATAATTCGCTTTTTCACAAGGAGGTCAGCCAAGTAGCAGCACATTCGGTTAGTTCTTCTTATCTGTAGCATTGTCAAGGCTTGTGAACAGACAGTCATATTCTACGGAAGCATGAGTAAGCGATGCTTCAAACATGATATTTGCAAAATTGCCTGCTGCTGCTGGGCTTTGAAGAAAAGCACGCTTTCGCGAAAGTATGGAGAGCCGCGAACCTTTATGTAGACAGACTGTACGCATAATATCCAAAATTGAGCTAAGTCTTCTTTTGTATGAGTCGTGAAAAGCTCTGTGCTGTAATACTGCAGTAATTAGTGTTTGCTTCACTCCCAACATAAACAAGCTGTTTGTCCTATTCGAATACCAATACTGACAAGGAAAGGAAAGTTAGTCGAAGTGATCTTTAGGGGTCCTCTGTGCAAACCTTCCTTACTTCAAAATCATTTTTCTTTCTTTGACGTCAGTGAAATCATTCCGTTGTACTAATTACCTGATCAAACAGTACTAAGCGTATTTATGATATAAATAAGTGAGTGATGAAAAGTATGTTGATAATGCCAGTTCGACAAATCCTAAGTGACAACTTGTGGTTCATCGAAATGTTACTTCAATAAGGGTTTATGTCAAGAATAACGATAGCTGGCAACAGTGGCGCCCTAAGTGCCCGGGTGTCAATAAACGGTATACAGGTAGCACTGCCCCAGCAGCGGACGAGCTCACGCATGCAGTACATTTTGTAGCAGTGAATGCCCAAAGCGTTGTTCTTCTTTATTCATGCTTTTTGTTAAAGCTTCTGGTATTTTCTCAGGATGGAAGTGGTCAGCTTTACATCGCCATGAGCACGCGAAAGAATTGTTTTAAGCTTGGTTTGGCATGTGAAATTCAACTATTCTTATTAGAAACGCGCTCAACACTGTTGGATGAACTACAGAACTGGATGATTTTACTAACTTCAAGGTTGCAAAAATACTTTGAAGAAAAGACAGCTGGCCACTGGGATCACCAAGGAATTATGCAAAAAGCTAGGGAGATCAACATTGTTTCAGAAATTCAAAGAAATGCATGAAAGCTGGAGCTTTCGCATAGTAAGCCATGCGCTACCGTTGCTGGCTAAGGAGTGGACCTATCCTCCATCTTGTACTTCAAACAATGCAGAAACTTTGTTGCTGAACTATTTTAAGCCTTCTTATCGTCCCGTGTGAGCAGGGTCCATCGAGGGCGATACTAATTCGCCGAACCTCTTTATTGTGGCATGTGGTGGATGATATAGACTGGGATGAGAAAGGTCATGGTGGGATTCTCCAATCTTCGATTGGAGACTGACGTTCTCCTCTGGCATTGGCAAATATCGTCGATTGAAACAAATAGAAAGACGATGGGAGTGATCTTGGATAGTTTGAAACACGATTCATAGAATCAAGCTGAGATGTCCGCATTCATGGATTTTTGACTATCCTTTAGTGAATAGCAATGACCTTTCCAAAAGAGATGGAGTAGAAGATCAGCTGCCGCCTTAACAATTTTTAAGCATACGAATTTTCATTAGCATCTTAGCAAGATTCTTCATTCTTGATGGTTTGAAGCAAAAATTTTTATCAATCTGAACACTTACGAACTCAGCAGCCGTTATAAAGCCAAATCAACCTGAGAATTATGACACCAATTACAGAGCGACCTTGAAACTGTAAAATTTTTGAGCCGTCCTCAGCAAAAACGTTTCTATAGAACGGAAATACTCCAAGTTTTGTAACCTATTTGGAAGCACAACTTCCTCTTCAGCTCAGATCTCGAGTCTTAGCAGAGAACGATACTTGGTGACCCGGCCATTCATAACGGTTGTATATCAATAAATGCGCCTTTCAATTCTGGTTCGAATACTGTTTTCCATATCTGCGAAACGGAACCTGGATGGAGTTATAATTATTCTTTTAAGAATGGTTTGCCCTACTGCGGAGGGTGAAAATCATTAATGAAAGTTTTTCTTTTTTCTTCAAATGCCAAATATGATTTAGATAGGTATAGATACAACGTACACTTTTCAAGATTCTCCTTAATAGCTTCAAACGGTAAAATAAACCAATCGAGTGATTTTAATTACCTAAAAGTACGCAAATTTTTATGAAAAAAGTTCATAACTGCCTTCACATGATCGTTTCGCAGATTTCGAGCACAGATTTAGAATCAGAGTTTTGTGGTGCACCTTATGGTATACATCGCATACCAAATGGCCGGGATCACCAAGTATCCTTTGCTTGATAAACGTTTTTTTTGGTGCTAATTGTAAGTCTTGCAATGGAAAACAATAAATCTTTGCAGAGCTGATATACTGCACACAAATTTCAAATGATTATCGATCTACAATGCTTTGGCGTACATTCATTCTGAAACGGATTTCTTGCACGCATCCCAAAAAAAATTTTTCTGAAAACCGAATCATTCTCCCCCATTGTTTTGAACCGAGCGTCCAATCCAGCTATGTTGAACTACACAGTAGAGTGATACTTATTTATAGAGTATGACCTGAACCAGTGCCTAACTACTATCAAACTTGACCTACTTTCATTCCAACTTCAGGACACAAATATTTTCCATGGCTCAAATCTAATCTCATGAAGAATTATAAGCTTATTACTTTCGTTCCCTTCTATGCTAACTGGCAATTACTACTATCTGACAAAATACTAATAACAGATGATGTGGGGAGGGGGAAGCCCAGGGTAACGAACCTAACGGAAGAGATACAGTACTGCACGTTCAGGGCTTCGAAAAATTTAGCTTGTCCCAAATTTGTAATGTGCAAATACAATACGCATGCACTTTGTAAAGAAACAAAACTATTAGAGTTTTTTCTGGAACGAGTCAAACATCCTCGTGCGGTAAGATTTATTATTCAATGAAACTTTACACGTATCTACAGAATCATTCTAGATGGAAACCGGCAACTTTATCGTATGTTGGGAAAGATGACGTCACTTTTCGCAAGCAATGAATTGAGAATGACAAGAAAAGAAACAGCAGAAAATGACGCAATTCAACCAACTAATACAAATGGGCTATGTACATATATGCAAAAAATCTTTGATGCTAGAACAAATCAAGATTTTGATGTGGAAAGCCTGAACTCGCACTGTGTGATAATAACGTCAAAACGATTAGGGAAAAATGGCGCCAGCAAACGAAAACCTGACTTAGAGATCAAATCGTATGTCACACTCTCGACGGACAACTAGCACACGAGTTGTAGTTTCGTGCCAATTACCGCAATGACATAAAGTCTGAGCTCAATTCTGTGCGTTTTTGAAATGGAAAAAGGAGGGGTGAGGGCAGCAAGTTATGGTAGAGCTCAAGATATCGCGAAAAAAGAGGATTTTCTAGGATGCTGCAGTCAGAAAAGAGCTAAACGTACGAAAACACACAGGAAACCGTATTAACAGAATATTATCATTCGGGATGCTCTGATATATAAATTAGCTGAGATGGAGTCACCTCGGGGGAAATCACCGGTATGAGAAATAATGGAAAAATCTATAAGAATGTGGAGGTTCAGCGAGGGCTGATGATAACCCATTGAGGTACCTATCTCTCGTAAGCGTGCTCTGCAGCTGATATGTTGACCAAAAAACAAAGTGTAAACTTCCTATGCCTGATTTTAAGCGATTAAAGCTATAAATTCACACGCTTCCGGATGAGTTTTTCGGGTGAATTCACGCTAGGAAAGTGCTGCGGGCGTTAAATAGGGTACAGCTGAGATTTGTGCTTCACTAGCGTTGATGGAGCGTGTATGAGGTGTCTTTGAATCCACGGGGGCCGATTTTGTAGGTCCCTTCATCGATGCCATCGTGGGTACGGGTCATCGTCGAAGACGAGGCTTCCATCAGCACCCAGACCTTTCAGATGTCGTGTTTCCATGTTGGTATCCCAATAACCAGAATGCCTAAACAAGAATCAAATTTGCGGGGAAAAAAGGCAAAAAAATCAATAGAATTCTAACGAACCTGGCTTCCCACTCATCAGACCCAGTTCTCGTTGTTACCGTCGATTCGGCTGTCTCCGCTGTCGAGAGCATCAGCGGAGCATCCGGAAAAGGAGCAGTAGCATAACGTGGAGAACAATCGAATAAATCGTCGTATGATGGTGAGGTTAAGCCTGGAAACGAAAATATTAGCTATCAAAAAACGGCTTTTCAGAAATTCATAGTCTACCGCAGGACAAAGGCTTTCGCTCAAATAAGGTATGGGAGCGCAAGCGCGGCACACGCTATTATCGTGGTGACTCTTTGCCTGACATGCCCCACGGCTAACAGAATCGCGCTCGCGTCGCTTCGCTTCTTCGCGCCGACTGCCTTCGTTCGGAAGAACTGCATACTCACCCGAAAAACGTGGATAATACGAATCTGGCAAATCGCCAGAGCCGTGCTCATCACGCTGCTTCCTGTACGAAAATAGGCTATTACCAGAGTTTGAGTTTGGATGTCTGGAAAAATGCTTTGAAATGTAGGGTAAGGAAAGAAAAAATCCACACTTACTTTAGAGACCTCCTCAAGAAGGTCACATATACGATTGGGGTGTAAAAACAGAAGTAGAGATACGTCGAGAAATCGACAAAGCTAAAATCCCGCGTGTACCAATAACTGGGAAAATTATGAAAAAAAGTATAAACTTACCACATTCCATCTGTAGCTTGGAAAAACAGCAAAACCGCACCCAAAGCTTGCAAGATATTCAAAAATGATAGCAATATACAGTACAAGTAGAAAGAGCATTTACCTGAAATGAAAAATTTGGCACTTACTTCGGATATTTTTTAATTTTTAATTATCGCATCAGAGTTAAAAATTAAACAAGGCACAAATGGCTTTAGTTAAAAACTTACTTGGTAAAGTCACATATCTCCTGACACATGTAAGTGGCAGACACAAGACGAATAGATATATCTGAAATACATGAAATTAGGTCTAAGGTTATCATGTGAATAATTTTTTAAACTGTAGCATCTTCACGTATTCACACCATCTCGAAATAACATTTTTTGAATGAGTAACTGAAAAATCAAAATTTTCTCGCTCTGCTAGAAAAATAAAACTTGTGTAATTCATTAAATTATATGCACGAAGAACTGAACTGTTTAATATCCTGCAAGCTTACTTTCTCGGGAAAACAAAAACTTACAAGAGCGAAAGCAGCAGATGTGAGCATCCAGAATATTAGACCTCCTTCTGAATGAAGGTCGAAGAAGCCGTCTGTTATTGACTAAAAATTCAGAAATCAATAATTCATCGAACAACCCCAGGTATATGAAAAATACCTGATCGATAAGTTTTAATTCCAAAACAGACTGTATACCGGTATGAGCTAAGCTAATCAGTAGCGTCGCTATGAGCGCTCTTCTGATACTTGTTGAACTATCAAGGTGTCCTAAAATTAAACAAAAATTATTATTCTACAATAAAAAGGCTAAAAAAATTCTCTTACCAAATAAAAGCGCAAACGTCAATACACTCAGCTCCGAGGTCATGTAGAAAAATTTCAGCGAAATCCATAGGATCTGGAAAAATTTGATCTCTTAGTATCCATATAAGGGCAAACGAACTTACTTTGTCCACCAGCTCGCCAACCGGGTTTGTTGCACTGATTGACATCGATACGATGCATCGTACAATATTCATAAAAGTAGTAAGGTAAACCTAAAAACGAAAAAAATTCACACTAGAATTTCCGGGGGAAATTAAGCGCTCAAAATGTGAAAAATGAGAACTTATTATGACCAAAAAACACTCACCAGAAGAAAAAATGCCCTAAATACGGGACTTTTCGAATTGGTGATTTTTTTCAGGACATGCCTGGCATTTAATATTAGAAATAGCGAGAACAACAGATTCGGTACTAATATAGCGACATCCCAATACCGTAATCTGAAAAAAATCAATTTCAGTGTACTAATGAGTAGAAAAAACTATTTTTCTCGGTTAGATGAGGGGACGAAAAAACTTTATGCACTCGTTAAGCTTTATGGGAATTTCCCCATTATACAGTTCATTTGGAGCTGCAAAAAGCTTAGTCTGGAAGAAATTGAATTTCTCATTAGTGTGCGAACACCAATTAAAAAAAAGAAGAAGGAAGTAGATTATAGGCTTTCATCCATGATGCCATTGCAGATAAAACAAAAAAAGAAACTATAAACTACATTCCAGCATCATTCTAATCCAAACAAAAACACTACAATAAAATTAAGCACCGTTTGCAGAATTTAAGAGCAAAAAATAGTTGAAAAATCGAAGTTCAGACGGTGTTATAGCAACACCAATTTTTTCCAGTAATTTCAAGACATTAAGGGTTTGAAATTTTTCGAACAACCTGATCAAAACAAAAAGTTTCGCCTTTTCAATGTTTTTTTACATGGCTTATAAAAAAATAAATCGAGCGACTCACCCAAGATATGGTAACTCGTACAAGAGCACATTTCGACAGAATCCTTTGATCACAGTATGTGCTTCACTATCAATGAAAGAATTATTAGGGAAAATATCAGCTATCCAGTCCGGGCTTTGTTCCGGTATTTCTTGAGTGAAATTCGAGAATCGTGCCTCACCAAGACTTGTACCCGGATTATCCGGGAACAATACCGACATATCTGGAATTGGAGAAGCATAAGAGAAGGGAAAAAGTTCGATGTCCAATATCGAGAGCGAATCGAGTGAATAGCGTGTGAACAGCGGGCGCTGTGCAAAATTGAAGAGCGAGTGAATGGCGGAATTGCAGCGGTGATGTGGGATATATAGGTGTGACTTCTTTTGTTAAGCCTCTACTAGGGGCATTATGGTGACAAAATCGATTCGGGACGAGAGAGCTCGGCGAAAATTGCGAAAAATGTTCGGGAAAAACTTGACGGTGCTAGGTGCAAAGCGGAAAGTACAGAAAACTTTTCGATGAATGGATTGATCCAGAAAATTCAAACGGAGAAGGCTAAAACTCTCCCGAAAAGATAGAGGAGCCTGCAGATAATCTGAAAATCTCAAAAAACCTGCAAAAGTTCTCATTATCTCCAAATGTACAACAAAGACATAAAAATAGTGTTTTCTTCGCAAAACAATCGTTTATCAGCCATTGCACGACGAAGGAGCTGCGTAACGAATGGAAAAACAAATGCGCCCGTTACCGAGTGATTGATCACGGTAAACGCAAACCGTAAAAAAAACAACACCACTTACTGGACTAGAACACAATAAATCAGCAAAATTTAATTTGACCTAAAATTAGCACATAGCACACATAAATTTACGGTATTTGTTCATCTGCTTAACTTATTCAAATTTTTTATTCATAAAGCCGACATCTAAAACACTCGAAACGAGAAAGGGCCTTATTTCAACGGTCGCCCAAAAATCTTGCTTGTGTTTGAAAACGAGACAACCCTAGCTGGCCATCATCGATCGAGAAAAATACTATTATCTAATAAAATTGCAGAAATGACATGAAATGTAGCACCAAGTAAAAAATGATTTTTCAGTTTTAAGTAGGGAAACTTATGGCTCGTTAGACCATATTATGCTAGTTATTCTGCTAAGCCAATGGTCAACAATAGTGATAAATGGAATTGGTCAACGATCCTATCAAGAATCCGCTCTAGTTGGATTTATTGCCCATTTTAATAAGTTTGAGATAAAAACAGTAATAAGAGTTTATTCTAAAAATTCAAATTGTTGAAAAGGAATAGGTTGAAATCAACAACCTCGTAAGTATGATTTTCATCTATGATTTTGCGAAAGAAAAAATTAACTAAGAGGAAAGACGCTCATTTACTTGTAACCACACCAGTATACGGTTATCGACATAAGTCTGAATTGTCAAGCAGTCACCCCAAAAAGGTGAAATTTTGCAAGCATGATTCCATATCTGATTAATAACGAAAAGTTAAAGTTCGCTGCATGTCACGCTTTCAACATGAAGTCAACAAAAAATACTTGGCTGTTCTCTCGTCGAAATTTCTGGGAGGTGAATGAGCAGCAAAATGACATGTAATTGAATTACTTGGCAAACATGGTTTGCTGAAAAGTTCTGGGAAGTTCTTTGAAGCCTCAACGATTGCACATAAAGCAGAAACAACTCTGAAACCTTGCAAAAAATGTTATAGATTGGTAATCCTTGATAATTGGGTGAAAAGTGGATAGAGTTCAATCAGTTTAGATCGACAACAACTAATTGTAACCGCGGGATTTTTGTGAAACTGGTTTTGCAAACGAGTTTAATAGAAATATAGGGTTTCAAATCCATTCAGCATTGAACAACAAGGGTAAGGGTAGACCAGTATTAATTATTTCCTCTTCCGAAACGAAAAGATGCAAAGCTCAAAAAATATGGAATATAGGATCTCAAAAAATTCGCGAAAGTTGAGGTATAATTCTGCAGTCACAAGAAATTTCTAGTACTTCACTTTCAATGATCATTATGCTTTTGATTTGAGATATGAAAAAGTGATACAGAGTTGAATTTGATCACAGAACATAAAAAAAAGCTGTAATTTGAACGTTCTGAACTGGATATTTTCAAAAACCTCAAAAAGTGACTTGGAAAAACGAAGATCTAAGTGGAGGAGCTGCAAAGGGCAATGAAGATCCAGATATTCTAAACAAACTATGGCACTTTTAAGAACAACATTTTCGATTTTTCTGAGCGCTCAGCTCCAAATATGTTTTGAGACATACGTAAAGCAAAAAAATCGCAAAATTCGTTTTCAAATTGTCTATATAAATTTGTTAGTTGAAAGCCTTGAGAACCTAATATCTACAAACCTAATACTTTTCCAACATAACATATTCTACTCTGTTCTAGATACTGATGATCCTATTCAGATCAAAGTCACATAGTTTACTTATAAAAACACAGCTAAAGCAAGGTTTTCTCCATTTGATGGGCGTCAAATGAAACATTTTCTTTAGAGTGAAGGGAATAAGAATTTCTAACCTTTTACTACAACTTACGCATCATCTTATTTTGCTGAAGCTTCGACCTAGAATGGATGTGCAAGGTTCTAAGAACGACAGGGTGCTGTCGTGTGTGTCCCTTCGCTTGCGCGCAACAAATCTAATTTACTCATAGAGAAGGAAAAACCGAGGGCGAAAAGCGAGAGCGTTTCCCCCCCGCTTTTTCTCGCCCCGTTATCGAATTTGCATTTGTGATGGGGCGGTAGAGCGGTGGAGATACAGACGAATGTGCGGCACAAATGACAGATGGTATCTGCCTCATTAGTACGGAGATGTTGTTGAGAAATTAGGGAGCAGCTCATCGGGTTCAAATAGCTGCCTAATCGAGGTTAATCTTCGAGTAATCACATTACCAATGATCGATAATCGTTTTGTCAGTTTTTGAGCCGAACTGTCATTGTCAATTCGACAAAACAAAAGCGTTGAACGGCATGTTTCGTGATGCAAATGGAAATTAGCGTGACGTTGGAACATGGAACATGGAAATGGTTTCTTTTTTGAATGGAGGCAAAGCCGGCACGGCCCCCCGTCCGTCACGAGCCGGGGCAAATCAGCTTCGAGCGGCAACAACAATCCCTCGCTAATTTGCATTTTACACGAGGAAAAAACACGATGAAGTGATAGGTACTGCGAGAATAACAGTGGTGAAACGACTGTCTACCATGCATTTGGTTTTATGATTTTTTGGACAAAACAAAGCGAAACAAACGGGCTGGAAGAGGAAGTACAGAGAATTTAAAAATAGAAGATTCAAAGAAGGAAAAATTAAGAAAACCAAGAAAACAACAGAACAACTGCGGACAATATTTTAGTAAGAAAAAGCATCAGTAAGTCCTACCTGAGGATGTTTTCTTATCAAAAATCACATTAGAAAAATACCAGTAGCTCCTATTGAAGCTGCTAACTCCACTAAACTAGCCCGAAGCTAATTCCGAATTGTTTGGTATGAGATATAAATTTGCATAAAAGATTCGCTCAATCATTTCTTCACCGTTCACTGGAAAATGCTAAAGAATTTCCCAAGCTCTGAAAGGTGAGAAAATTACTCACTAGGAGAAATAAAAAAATATCACGAGTGGGCTTCAACGACTTCTAGATACAATAATTCCATCAAATTGTGAGAAAATTAAGGAACGTTATTCCCAAGCCCGAAAAGAGAAAACTATTACTAAAAAGTTTCACATTTGTAATCACATCTTTACTCTGAATGAAACTGAAAACCGTTAATATTATTGAGATTTATAATCGCGAAAAATTCAGCTAGCTCAAAAATTTATGAGAAAAGTTCATAAAAAATGCAGGCAATTTTTACAATCAAGATGGATAGAACTGTAAGCAGATATATTAATTTTGTACAATGATTCACAGGACAAGACCATCATGTTTTCCCGATTATGGAGAGCGAACGAATGTTAGAAAAGCAATATGAAACAGAACAAGTGCAGAATTGCCTTCGTCGTTGCCCTATTTGTACGAAAAGTTCATTTCGCCCCCGAGTTCCTCCATTGCGTCTAACAAGTTCACTCAATTAGATGCGTCGATAATGATTCGTGTTTAGCCCAAATCATTCACTTCGCTGCACAAAAATGTGCAAAAAATGTCTACACGAAGAATTTCGGTCGTACTCGCTGCAGATGCGAGCGACTGATGATTTTGTGTTGAAATGGAGTCTGGTTGCCGAATTTGAAGATGCGAATAACAATGTGACGACTACGACGTAGAAGAGTGGAGCCATTTGCGAGAAAACCTGTTCGGAGTGTTTTTGAATTCTATTCGATGCAAAGAGTGAGAAAGAATTTTAGAGTGCAGATGCTAGGTTTTCAAAGCTGCATGAAAATTGACTGAATTTGGGCATAGCTTACCCAATGCGCTAGCATTTTAAAATCTTCATTTAGAAGTTGCTGCGCTAATAAAACCTCTACTAAAAATTGGAACCTGCACCCTTTATTGATTTGTAGATCAAAATATCAACAATCTCAGTGCTGTCAAATGAGAAAAGCAAAAACCACTAAAAAAATATCAATTCTATCGTAAATATGATAGCTGCTTACTCAAAAAATAGAACGTTAAAATGAGAAAAAATAAGAAAATGATCGTTTATTTCGTCCCAAACAAACTCGTCATTCAGTAACATTCTAACAAGGATATCAGGATAACAAGTTTGTAAGGATATCCGGATCGTAAGTATATCAAGATTCCAGTGGCGGTGGGGGTAGGGGGAGGCGCAGAATGGGTCGCGAAAATTTCAAAAATTAGTTTACATGGGCTAAAAAATTGCGCAAATGACTTCATTTCGCTTGTAAACTTTTGAAATGATTTTTTGGATTTTTTTCTTTCAAACTCAGCCTCTTAAAAAACTTTCTTACCCTCACCGAAAAAATTTCTCGGACCGCTACTGCAAGATTCCGTTTCCAAAAGAAATGTAGATGTTACATTTTAGAAGTTCATGCAAAACATCGAATCAACGATGAAGGAACTAAACCAGATTTCTCGAGGTATGGCCATGACACACGCCAACGGCAGAGTACTAGGAAAAACAAGGACGAGTGCGAAACTAGTGCAAGCGTGATAGACTTCGAGCATGTGAATCTATTTTGACGAATTTTTGGCACTTCCTTGAATATGCCGAAAAAATTGAAGACTAGAATTTTTACGAATTGGGAGGATTCGAAAGGTTTG